AAACAGTCTGTGTATCCATATATAGTACATAAAGGTAGTAATGGTTATATCATTCTTAGAATAAAAAACAGTGAGTTTGATATAAATAAGTGATAAATGAATAAATGATGGAGAATAAAAAGGCTCTCCTATATAGTAAAGACAAAAAAAATGTATAAGGGATGATAATGATGAAATTAGAAAATTATTAATTGGCAACCACAAAAGTAATAATTGTTTCAAGAAAGAATCATCAATAAATGTTGAAGCTGGTGGGTAGTATTAAATGATCATTCCATAGGAAATTTATTAATTACAAGGATAAAATAGTTTTTTCAGTGGCAAAACTTGGCAGGTTACACCTGAAGTGAACAAAATGATGGTATAGGTATCAAATGCCTTCTGATAGACATATGATTCATGGTATACACATGTTCTGTAGTATTCCTGCCAAAAATACATATTCTGAACCTCATCACTAAGAAACATCTGATAAAGTAAAATTAAGAGAAATTTTACAAAATAAACATGCCATATTCCTCTTTTTTTTTTCCTTTTTGAGACAGGATTTCACTATGCAGTTAAAGTTGGCTTTTTTCAGGGGAGGTACCAGGAATCAAACTCAGGACCTCATGCTTGCCAGGCAGGCACTGTGCCACTGAGCTATATCTCCAGCCTCAAGCTGGTCTTGAACTCACTTTGTACCCTAGGCAGGCCTTGAACTCACAGCGATCCTTCTGCCTCAGCCTCCAGAGTGCTGGGATTACAGGCATGTGCCACCATGCCTGGCCTAGCCCATATTCTTAAAAAATATCTAAGTTATGAAAGACAAAGATTGAAAAACTGTTGCAGACTGACAAAAATTAAACTAGACAGATAATAATGTGTCATCTTGTACTGGATTATAGGCCAGAACAGAAAAATTATTTATTTTTATTTTCTTTTTCTATAAAATATAGTAGTGGGACAGACAACTGGTAAAATTTGAATAAGCTCATAGATGAGATCATAGTACTGTATCAGTGTTAAGTTTCTAATTTGATAATTATACTGTGATATTTGTACTCTGACTTTGTTTTCAACAAATACACTGAAAAAGTTAGGTATAGATAGATAAAAATAATTACAACAGTCTCTTTAGACATCCACATCTCTACAGAGATAGAAGAAATGTGGTGAGATAAGACTGAAAGGTGCACAGGATATATTTGGTACTACTTTTACACTTTTTCTTTAAAACTGAAATTATTTCAAAATGGCCAGGCATGGCCATTTTTGCACATGTCTGTAATCCCAGCACTCAAGAGGCTGATGATGCAAGAGGTCTGAAGTTTAAGACCAGCCTGAGCTACATAGACAGACCCTGTCTCAAAATACAGACAACAAAAAACAATAAAAGAAAAAAATTAAAGACATTCCAATAAACACGTAATATTTTGGACTATTTCTAACTATTACAATTAGATATTTTGTAAAAGAATAAAAATTTGGATCATCAATAATTAGGGATCATACAAGCAATAGATCATCTGGGGATCATCTGCATAATTTGGATCATGCAAGTGTTTTGTATTACTTAACATTTTTTATTGATACTGAATCATGAACAGTTTTCAATATTATTTAAAATTCTTTAAAAACAATTGTTAATGGATTCATAATATTTCCTTGCGTGGAGGTATTGTAATTTACTTTGTTTAGGGTTTTCCTTACATTTTTATAACACAAACACCTTTCTCATGTTATCTTTGTCCACACATTGGACTACTTCTTATGCTTGATTCCTAGAACAGGAATTACTTCATCCTTTTTTAAATGACTAGGGTGACCTAACAAGTTCCTAAATAGCCCCAGGTTCCTTTTTAAGTTTGAAGCGCTTTACTGACTTCTGGCCTCATTCAGGGCTTGGTAAGAGACTGTGAATTCTGGGTTAGGCTCTGGGCAGTGGTTGGCGATGACAGAGGATGTGAGTCTAGTTGGCAGCAGCAGGCTGCGCTCAGTTCTGGGGCTACATCTGTTGAGAGGATTCTTAGTTTTGGTAGGTCCTGAAGGTTAAGGGGAAAGCCTAAAATGTCACTGAGCAGATGGCATGCAGGCTAGGTAGATGTACAAGGCTCATTTCATACAAACTATCAACGTTGTAAAAACAGTAATTTGGAGATGGGTCATCAGAACGTCTGGATGAGGCGGCGGGGGTGCTGGAGAGCTTGATATCACAGAAATTTCTTTCGAGTAAGGAATCTGGTAGGGAGCACCCACTCTCTGGAGCTTCGACTTTACTTGTATATCAATGTTTACCTTGCTTCTCTGTTGCAGCCCCATTTCTCCCATTACCCATACCACGTTTCTTAGTCTGCTAAGAGTCGGACACAGAGAGTACCATGGATGGAAGTCCTAGGACTGAAATTCTATGAATTTCTCCTATTAGGAAGAAAAATCAGAACTGCAAATTTAAGCTCTTGGTTGTTGAATAAGAATGGTATAATTTTTAAAGGCTTACCTTTGCTTTAGTAATAAGAATCTATTTGGGAAGCCATACTGAAGACCTTATTAGCCCCCAAAGAAAGGTGATGCTGGTAAAAAGAGACACAATAAGCTGCCTGAGGAATTCTATGAGCACATTTTTGGGAAAAGTAATTGACCGCTGGAAGGATCTCACACTTGCCAAGCAGCCACCATGCCATTGAGCTATATCCCCGTCCACAATAATTTGTCTTTTTTTTTTTTTTGGTACTGGAAATCAAACTCAGGACCTTGCACTTGCCAGGCAAGCAGTGTGCTGCTGAGCTATATCTCCGGCCCTTGACTGACATTTTAATCACATTTTCTCTTCCATCCCATTCCATTAACAGTACTAGGGCTGAGACTGACTCTAGAAACACAGAAACGAATCAAACACTCAGGATCACAATTTGCTAGTAGAGACACAAGTGAACAGATATTGACACTGAAGTGAGAACAGTTACAAACTGGGAAGCACAAAGGTTAGTAAGATCAAGGTTAGTAAGAAGAGGTTTTGTGCCTCCCTTTACACAAACTTTTATACAGTACTCATATACAAATAAATAATCATTCATTCCTCTTCCTTCCCTTCTTACTTTTCTTGCATTATACCTATAATTTATTTGGCATATACCCTAGACCAAATAGAGTGGCATTAGAATTGAAGAAGAAAAAGAAATTTAAAAAGCTGTGGAATTTATCAGGCTTTGTGACCAATTATCTAGGGGTAAGATATAAGAGTTAAAGATGACTCTCAGAGTCTTGGATTTGGCCCTACATGGACGATGGTGCTATTCACCAAGCCAGGAAATGGGTATCTTTTTGGGTCACATTTTATTTTGAAATGAGGGTTTCTCTACATCGCCTCCAGAGTAGCTAAGACTATAGATGTGTGCCACTACATCTAACTTGGTCCAGATTTTAAAGAATAAATTTAAAAAGCAAAGGAAGTTTTGCCAGGGTGACCTTAAACTCACCTGAGGAAGCCATACTTTGACTAGTGGCTTTCTGCTAGTACCACTGCTGAGACTGGTTCTAGGAACACATCCAAAGGATGTACATAGTATAAAAATGAAACTGGGGGGGCTGGGGATTTAGCTCAGCGGCAAAAGCGCCTACCTGGCAAGCGCAAGGTCGTGAGTTCGGTTCCCGGTACCGGAGAAAAACCAAAAAAAAAACAAAAAAAAAAAAAAAACAAAAAATGAAACTGGGGAGCTGTATCAGGATGAGAATAAAGAGATATTTTAGAGGCACTGGATAGTAGTGAAAATCATGTAAAATCGAGAGTGGGGTAACCAAATTGACAGTAGGTCAAATAGAGAGCAGGGTAACCCTAGGTCAAGGTAGACTAAAATGAAAAAGATTTATAGTAGAAGAAAGGAGAGCAAATGGGAGATGTTTCAGAAGTAGAGAGCAAACTGGATAGAGAGAGCCAAAATAATGGGACAAAACTGTGGCAGACCAAACAATTTTAGGTAAACTACTCTGATTAGGGAGTTGGCGATGATAAAGGCAGTCGCAATCAGCACAGGATTTGACTAGAAGGGAGAAAGTGTGAAGCAAGAGGAAACTGGTCTTGGGAACAAATGACTCATCTTCACGTAGAAGCTACACCCTGGGTAGCATGATTATTCATACACAAATGCAGATCTCCTGCCCTAGTAGTGATCTTGGCTTGGAAAGCATAGTGCTAATGCTAGGTTGCCAAACTGATCTAAATTAAAGGGCTCATGTCTCTAGATTGAATTTTTTTTTTTTTTTTTTTTTTTTTTTTTTTTAGCAACAGTAGCTTACCCTTACACCACTTTGTTAGCATTGCTGGAAGGACTGTTATGGTATCAGACAGGACTGAAGGAAATTCAGGATCTACTTCCAGCTGTTCCTTAGGTGGGCTGTACTCCCCCTGTAAAATGGTGGTGGTGTAGTACCTAATTCATAGAGTTGCCGTGAGGATGAATCACAATTTTCTTCCGAGCCCGTTTCCCTTGTTATAAAAAGGGGATAGTGATTTTTTTTTTGTAATGTGACTCAGAAGTATGTGGCAAATGCACACTGAGGATCGTGCAGGCACAGTTTTCATTGATGAGAAGAGAGCTGCTAGGTTACAGTTTTTCTAGTTGGCTGCTCAGTTATTACTTGAACTTTTCCTAGAGAACTTATGTAATTTTCTCATCACGATTTATTATTATTAGGCCGTACCCTAAGGAAGGGTAAGATTGCCTTTTAGTATTTTTATACACAGAAATATGCCGATTCTATGTTGATATCTGTTGTGCAATAGACTGTCAAAGGATCCAGTGTACTAGGCTCTATTCTTCAGTGGAGGCACGTTATATAAATCCATTTGTTAAAATCTGGGAAATTTTGATTAGACCAGGAATGATGAAGAACGTTTAATTCTCCTTTAACAGGAATACACTTACATGCACCTCACCCTGAAAAACAAAAACAGATGGGTATAATCTAAACAAAGACTGAGAGTTAGGGTGTTCTGCAATTGAAAAAAAATTGGAACTCACATTTACTGAGTACTTTCTATAGGCGAGTCCTTCCATCCCCAATCTTTACATCCGGCAAGGGAGGCAGGAGAAATCTGAAGTTCAAACTGTTACGTAACTTTCCAGGGTCATAAAACTATACGTGTTGGAACTGGAATTTGCATATCAGGATCTGCCACCAAAGACTGCTCATTCTAGTATACCACTCTGAAAAAAACAGTGTGTTTGGAAAATTTAAGAGCCAGAGGATTCGGAGAATTTTTCTGCTTCTCTTCTGCAGGTCTTTTGTTTTGGGTTCTGACAGTTGCAACCCTACAGGCCGGTTAAACGCAGAGCATCTGTAAACACAATGATTCCACAGCACCCTCTCTGCATACAACCATTTCCTTCCTTCAGAGCCTCACCTCGGACGTGGCAGGGATGCAGGGGTGGGTGCAGAGGTGGGCGAACAGAGGAGGGAGGGAGGGAGTTAGGAAGAGAATGATTCTTTTCTTTAAGTTGTTTATGCAGTTCAGGACAACCCGTTCGCGAGTCTCTTCTCTTGCTCAGCATATTTTTTCCCCCAGTTCTGGGAGATTAGGGGTTAAGGGTTTGTTGTCTGTAAATTTTTTCTACAATGATATGCACAGTACATGCAAAAAAGTTAAGGTCAAAGGCGATTCCTGTATTTCTTTTGGAAGGGGATTTATGCGTGTGCGTGCGTGTGTCTGTATGTATTTGGGGGGAAAAAAGGTTTGTTCTGGGTCACTCGTCCAGACACACCAAAGGGATCAGAAGGGAACCCTCTCTCCCCTTGAGAGATGGAACGGGGAGACTGCCTCACCCTCCGCTCTCAGGTGCGGGTTCCAGCGGCTACAGCGTCCACGTACCTTCTGGAGACAAGGGAAAGGTGCTGGGTTCTGGCGAGGGTGGGACCGCCCGGGGTTGCAGGGAGCCGCGGGCTTCCGCTCCCGGGAAGCGTCGTCAGGGGCGGGCGCGGCTGCGGGCGGTGCTGGGCGCGCGGGGCCCCCGCCACC